AAATTTAAGTATACTTGATATTAATATTTTATATTTATAATATAAATCTAAGCTTTCGTCAAATATGCTCGACAATGATTTTATTTCAAATATAATGCCCAGTAATAAATAATTGATTATGTTTCGCAAATAAAAGTATTATAAAAAGGAATAAAAAAAACAAAAATTCGATGACAGAAACCGTATGAGCAATCACGGCCTTCCGAATAACTTCTGCAGCGATTACTATCGAAGCGGAAAGCTTACCAAGGCATGCATCGCGTGACCATGATTATATCTTACCTCCTATTTATTTACACTATATTTTATGCATTTTCTATCCTCGAAATCGGCCCTTTTTATATATATTTTATATATATGCATACAGTATTTAGAAAAACGTATTTATATAATACACAAAATTTGATAGACTTATTATATTGCTGACAAAAGACATTTTTATGTTCATACGAGGTAACATGAATTTCTCGATTCAATTTTTCAGTTGTTAAATGAAGATAATCCCTCAAAATTACTATACTTGAATATTATAATTCGAATATAATTAATTTAAAGACTCTGACTTAATATTAGTTACTACTAAACCTTCATTTAATGTATAAGCAGATATTTTTTAAACAAATTATAAAGTATGAAAAAAGATGAAACAATAAAATTAAAATAAAATAGAAATGCAAATAAAATCAATAAAGAAACGAAAACAAACTTAATGAATAGATATTGTATGATATAAATATATTGATTATATTTCATAAAAATATTATTAATTGTTTTATAAAATAGAGAACATTTAATAAATATTTTCGTAGGTACTGGCAACAAGTATTGCATTTATTCTTTATAAATATAATACTCATTCAATTTATATGATCATTTTAATATGAAATTGTAGTAATTATTCTTAAGTGTTCATAAAATAATATCTCGAAAATTTTTTTTCTATAATTCTATTCTATTGACAAAAAGCAGAAAATATAAAAAATAAAAAATAAACAGTATCTTACATACTTTAATCAATTAGTATAGAAAGTGACGTTATACTGATAAAAACGACACTATAAATAAGTATATTTTTTATCTAATTATAAGAGTTGATTTCATTAAATAAGGCTAGAACGAATTTATGTTTCCAATCATGATCTCCCTTATCCCGTTCTAATGACTCGCAAGCATCTGAGAAAATGTACCATAAAATGACAATGTTTATCTATTCACCTCATTTTGATAAGTAACAAAATTCTATAAAAAAATCCTAAAAGTAGCATGAATTATATTCTTGTCATTAAATGAGCTGCATAAAAAAAGAATTATAAAATTGTCTAAATTCAACAAACTAATAGATAAACCAATTATAATAAAAAATAAAATCCAAATTAAAAATCAATAAAGCATATTTAAACTTACTTTTAAGTGATAAAATATATTTTTACAAATAAAAATATTTTCATCTTTTTATGATTAAAAAATAATGATTTAAGCATTAACAACTTGTAAAATATATTAAGTATAAAATAATTAAATCAGTAATATTAAATAATATTAAACAACAATTATTTTATATTATATATTATATATTTATATTATATATATTTATATACAACAATTATTATTTTATAACGACTAAAAAAAATATAATCATATTTTCATCATGAAATTAATATGGAATTAATTTATTTATCTCAAGTATAAATAAATAAATACGAATATAAACAAAAATTATGAAATCATAAAATCAGAATCGATAGAACAGTTTATCAATAATGTTCATTGTACGATTATGAAGAAAATATTTTATTAAAAAAAAAACATAAAACTGATTATAAAATATTGTTACATCAGACATGAAATATATATCATCCGAGTAAATAGCTTTAAAATAAGTTTATAGATTCATTGATGTTATAAAAAACAATATTACTTTACAAATACTCTCTGTTTATAATTATTACCATAATCTTCAATATTAATATATTTTAATCAATAAATATTTGTATTATTTGTTAATCCAATTATATTTTGTTCATATACAATATACTTTTTCATTTTTTTTTTTTTTTTTTTTGGTTTAAGATAGTCTAAAATTTTATATACATATAACATTTAATTAGTTAAAAATTTATTGGTACCAAAAATTAAACGGAATTTTATTTTATAAATTATTTAAAAATTAATTTTAATTCAAATTTTGGACTTCATAGCATAACTATATTAGAAACATTTTTATTTGAAAAAACGAATTTAGTTAAATATTTTATATTTAAAATATTTTACTAGGTACTTATTTATATCTAACTTTTTTCTATTAAAAATTATTACGGAACAATTGCATTCAAACACAAACTCGAGTGAAAAAATTTATGGTTAATAAAATTACAAAAAAATTTGTAAATATCAACTAGATTTTTATCTTTATGGCGGTTTAAACGGATGTCTCTCCTTAATAACTTATGATACACAAATTATATGTAAATTTACTAAAATGATACTAGCTTAATTTTTTCTTTTTAAAAACTGGCTTTTATTTAAAATTATTCCATACACTATTCTTAACTATTATAACGGATTATTAACATAAAATGCAAAATACGTTCATCCCTCTCGCTTACCTTGTGAAAAAAGTCATAACATTTTTTCCTGTACTCGTACAAGAAAATTTTCCCATTAAAAGTTAGCAAGAAATTAACGGTAAGAAATACCTACTTCCATTAAAAATCTTCTATTTAATCTTTGTATATAATAAAATCTAGAAAAATTTGTCTAGATGATCCACAAGAGAAGGAATTGAGCCACATAAACAACTGACTTGATAAAATTATAGGTTAAGATCCGTAGTGAAAAAGTAGTTCATAAAACTTTTATTATCAATAATAAATAATGATGTTTTAATTAAACATTAGAATATAAGTAGCTCAAAACTATATTATTAATAAATTTTCAGGCACTTTTTCATTCTAGAAATCGTATTCTTGAATTTTACTAATGATTCTGAAGATCTATACCGATTAATGTTATACTTTCTTATAGACTTAAAACGACGAGCTATTATGGAAAAACAAAATTAGGTAGTTACGTTTTCAAGTAATAAACCTAGTTTTATCATGACGTTTATACTGTTTAACTATTTTAAGTATAAGGTATTAAAAATCCATATATAACAAACAAATATTGAAAAGCACATTTTCATATAAAAAATTATAGAGTATGTGAAATAATTCGAACAGCTGGCTAATTTTAGATTCGTATATCATCAAATACGATTGTTAAATATAGTTTTAATCATCTATAGGCAATTTTCATCTGTAATTTTATGATGAATAAAATTTATGACACGTTTTAGATTTATGTCTAATATTTATAACTTCTTTTTCTTTCCTACGTTTTTCAATGCGTACAACATAATCAAAATTTGCATAATTCTTTTCTAACATTTAAATATTAACAATAAACCGACTACCATAACTATTTGAACTCCATCTCTCTAAACACTTTAGTTATCAATAATGATAATTAGTAAAATTAATAAAATAATTAATAAAATGAACAAATTTACATATATTTAATTTCATGAAATCATTGGTCAAAATGTCATTCTTCAAATACTTGGGTTCTAACAATAATAAGCGCAAATCTCTGATAATACACTCGTGTTGACCCGGATTCTCCAAGCTAATATTATACTTTGAACGAGCAAGCTAACGCTCCGATTACATACCATCCGCTTGTCGACACCATAAAGGTTGAAGACACTAGTGTGCAGACTGACGAATGTGTGCGCGAAACATTATTCATCGTTAGAGGTGAAACTGAGAGAGGATGACTTTTATCGCCTACGGAGAAAGATATGCATACGCGATATCTCCCATGGACAAAGAGAGGAATAGAAATGAAAAAGAAAAAGAGGAATACTTTGATAATTTCGTTCATTAGTTTTCCACGCCAACTGTCCTCTTTCAACCTTTGCCTGTTGTTTGAATTTCTTTTGATTTGAATTAGTCGCACGAAACATTGAAAGTAATTTCCTAGAGCGTGACAAAACGCGTTAAAAATTTAGACGCTGAGATATAATTAAATAATAACTTTATTAAAAGTGTTTATTGAATTCTATTATAAATATTGTCCACTCAATATTATAATTAAGAATATAATAACTTGAAATAAAATTCCTCTTGAACATGAAGAATAATATAAATTTCGTACATAGGAACAAAATGACAATTTAAAGCAGATTAAAAATATTCGTCATTTTTATAGTTGAATAAAACTAAATATTTGTTTATTAAAATATTTTAAAAAATATATTTATTTGATTTCCAATTTATAAAAGTTCATATGTAAAATGCGCGATAGAGTATAACTATTAAATACATTATATTTCGGTAGGTTTTTCTTTAACATTGTTTACACGTTAATGATTTTTAGGGAAAAATATTTTTAGGAAATATAAAAATTTATTATTTGCTCTAAATTTCTTGAAGAAATAATATGTTTATAATTAGGTGCTATCTTATTTATACTTTTTGTCTAAGAATTTTCAAAAAATGAAAATATTAAAATATTATCTTTCTAAGAATAGAAATTATCAATTTTGTATACTCTTAAATATTTTATAAATATCAAAATTAAAATTACATTAACTAAAATAAAAATTTATGAAACAATTTTGTTTATTCAAAAAATCCTTAACGATAAAACTTCATAAATAATATGTAATTTGAATTTAATCAAACTTCTCTTAGAAATATATATAACAAATGATAATATAGAATATTTTAAGATACAAATAAAATTTGTAAAGGGCAAAACACGGTCTTAAAATCAATTATAGAGGAAAAATGTTTAAAATAGTTTATTGCAAATATTATTGCGTAACATAAAATACGATTCATTTATTAAACTTAAATTTATTTGTACGTCTTATAAATTATTTCTAAATACATTATTAAAGGCGCATAAGGAATATAATAAAATTAATTTAAAAGCAATAAATTTAAATCTCTTACCCATTTTAAATTCTCTCTAGGCTTTGAATAACATATGAGTGTAATAAGTGTTTGTGCATATACACGTCGAATTATACACTTCCTTTTCATTACTTATTGAAATATTAGACTTTCCATTTTTATCTTCTGCTCTCTGAAAATATTCATTTTTTAAATATAATTATTTTACTATATAAACTATCTAAAATTTTAGATTTAATTAGTTTAAATAAAATATATATAATTTACTTCCTTGTGATAATTTCTTAACTATTATAGTGTTTTCATAAAGATTAATAAATCCATCTCAATTGAAAATATTTTTGAATATAAAAATTAGAATATTAAAATTATATTACGTAATTGAATGTAACAACGAAAGAAAATACATGATATTTTCTTTATATTTATATTTTTATTGTACTTTATAAGGTAACATATTAATTCTAAAGAATATTAATTACAATTATCATAGAATTTATACTTATCAATGTGTTGTAACTAATATAAAGGATTTACAATTAATGTACATTTAGAGAAAATGGCGTTACAAAATATAACAGAGTTATATACATGGTTTCCATATATTATTCTAATTAGAAGACATGAATATATTAAGTATATTTATGTATTTATATTTATTTAAGACTACCTTTTTCTATTTATTTTGTTTTATTATATAAATATTATATATTTATTTTATTTATTTATACAATATTAAAAAAATAATTTTTATGTATAAATATATGTATATATATTGCGTTAAAAAATATATCATAAAAAATTTAATAACCTGAAAAATAAATGTAATATAACAATTTGTCGTAGAAATAATGTTCTTAACTTATATAGTAACTGCATTATAAAAAATAATTTTCATTTACGTAATCAGTTTTTATATACAAAATTAAAGTCGTTTGTTAATAATATGTACGAATATATTTGTATAATCATAAAAATAGCATATTGATTTTAATAAAAAATGCATATTATAAATTTTAAAAATATATTTTTAATTTTTACTAATATATCATACTTAACTCACAAAAATAGCAATTATTGAAACTTTCTACGTAAATAATATAGAAAAAAATTAAAAGAAATTAATTTTGAAAATTAATTTTGAAAATTAATTTTGAAACATTATATGTAATAATGAAAATAATACTGCATATAAGAAACATAAGCATAATCGATAAATAAATATTTTATGAAATTAGTATTATAAAATTTGAAATAAATGAAATGTAATTACTAATAGAATTTTTATGTGTACAAACATTTTAAAAATACAGTAATATTTGACTATTAAACTATTATAAGTATTATGTAAAATATAAATGTTTTTATATTTTATCAAATATAACTATTAATAGGTTATTGATATCTAAACTTGTTATACTTATATTATAAATTTATAACAATAGATTTTTATCAATAAAATTATATAAAATATTGTAAATCTCATTAATTATTATAAATAGAAATCCCTTATTTTAATTTTTATATTTAATTTAGACATAACTGATAATTTATTTTAATTGTTATTTTTATGATCTTTACGAGGTTAAATCGTTTTGAAAGCTAATTGTAAGCGCAAATTAATGTAAATCTAATAAATTTATTAATTTAATATTAAATAATATACGTAACGTATTAAACAATATCTACTGTGTATTTCAAAACAAGAAATCATTAATAAAACAACTTCATTTGGTAATTTAAAAAAAACGAACAAGTTTTAATAATTCTAAACTTATTATGACAAACATATGTGATATTACCTTTTCTTCTCTGTCATTGACGCATATTGTTTATATCCAAACAGACACGCGTTAGTAATCGATAGAATATCTTGATCGATCAAGTATTTGAAGTATATCCAATCTACTTCTCATTCAACGGGTTCTCCTCGTTTCTTCTCTCTGTCGTAACGTTTCAAGTCCTGCAGTTGTTCTTTTTATCAACAACATATCTCAGATTAAAGTAATGACAGTAGAAGGAAGTGATATGAATATCTTTTAATGAAGTGCGGATACGAAAAATCCTTTATTTTTAAGAGCGATTTAAATTACTTATTAATAAATGTAAGTTTTATTATATGGATGTTATATTTCACTGGGTTTTTTTTTTATTTTTTTTTCTATTGAGAAATACTGTACAAGGTTTCACTGACTTTGTTTTTATACTTTGCATAAATTGAAAGTTGAATGCTTCTTATAATAATTCAAATATTTTCTCTTAGGAATAATGATAATTAATATAATTTTTCAAAAAATATATAAAAATGTTGAGGCAAATCGTGTTTTATGGTATTATACTAATATTAAAAATTTAATTCATAAAATCAAAATAATTATTTAATATACATTAAATAATTTGAATTTTCTTTTTTGATTAAATAATATTTATTTAAGAATGTAATGAGTGTTAATCATTCACATTTATTTTTTGATCATTCTACACTACTTTCACGTGTTATCGTTTAGTCTTCAAGTGAAATCCTTTAACTTCTTTCTGCCATCTAAGTCTGCTGGAGTCTTGTCGACCTTTATAAACAACACAGTTAATCTCTCTTCTCGACCCCCTTTATACCAAGTCAATAATTTATTCCTCTTTTCGTCGGTATTGAATAGACTCATAGATTTGTACTTGATTTCGAATGTCCCAGACCTTTTACAACTTTCAGTCACAACTTGTCAACCTATTTTATTATTACTAATTGAATTTAACATTTGCAGTTGAATTTCCAGTAATTTACAATATCTGTAATTATTTGTGTACTATATGAAAATTATTTATAATAAAATTATATATCAATTATTATATAAAAATTATAAATATCTCAAGGACATTATATTAGTAATTAAAAAATTCGTCTTTGCATTTTTACATGGAATAAACTTTTGTGCCCGAGTCTAAAATCTTCTTGTTCCATAACAATTACGACAACTATTAGCATTACAAGCTGATTAATACTAATATCGAGAAGCTTCTCTTGAATCGTCGAATACAACGTGCAACAGTCATCTTCCCTTTTTTATTTTAAACTCTCATCGCCTAATCTCGTGAATATCGATAACCATAACGTAACCCACGGCAATTACAAGGCCAAAGTATTTATCATCAGCCTCCCCTAGATCCTAGCAACGACTGCGTCCCCCAATCTTATAACAATCCGCAAAATCAGGATTTTACCCAACAATCCAGCGATCGAGCTCTAGAGACGTGGTGTCCTAGCCACGAAGAGCTTAGACTAGAACTGAAGCTGCGTCGCGAGCGAAGAGCACGCCCCCGATGTGGTTGCCGTTTCTCCGCGGTCTTACCTATACTTGTGATACTTGCCTCTCTAGCGGCTTTCCCGCCATTTAATATAGTGGGGGTTTCAATTGCTCGATCCCTTCTTTCGCACTTTTCCCGCCTCAAGTGTGCTTCTTCGCTTTTGTTTTCCTCCGTCCTCCTCGTATTTTGTACGCTTCCCACGCGCCCAGTGTCGTCTCGGCCAAATGTAAAACTGTGTTACTACTTGTTTACGTGAATCCACAGCTCGTAGTAATTACTACTCGATTGTTTCCTTTTTTACTTGCGAAGCCAGATAGCGTGGGATCAAACTAAGACTATTGTGTAGGCGTGCCGACACATTGATGAAAATGTCACTCCAGTATAGTTCTCAATGACTTTTCAGAGATCATGGGGTTCCGGAATCGTGGGGGAAGCTCAGCGCGTACTTTCATCTTGAATGCGCTGTTGACCGAATTGCCATCTGCTCCAGATGCGCCTTAAGTAGCTCAGGGAAGTGTCAGGTATAACAGTAAAGCATGAGTGACATAAGCTTGTATTGACAATTGACTAAAAAGTCAATTATTAAATCAAAATACTTGAAAAGTAGCTTTTATCGTGCAATATTTTTACTTTAACAAATTAAAAGTTTTTGATTTGAAATAAAAAATCCTTTACTAGAGAGAAACTTATTTCACTTAGCGCAAAAATAGAAAAACGAATTAGTTTAACATTCAATAATGTCCAATTTAATAAATTTAGGGAAATCCAATCAATAGATACCTCTTTAATTTGTAATTAAATAATTTTATAATTTATAGGTAAAAAATGTTTATTATTTTCAAAAGTTCTATGCTCACTCTTTACTTAAAAAATATAATTTTATTCAAATTTCTTTTAATATATTTTTCATGTATTGAAATTTGCATTTAAATAATTCAAATATTTCAAAATTCAATAATTCAATAATTAATGCTTTTCATAATAAAGTTGTGAATCAATACAATTAATGTATTAAATTTATATCATTTATGCCAAATAGGAAACTGCAAGTCATCCAAAAACTATAAACTGAAAATGAAGTAAATAAATAATAAGATTAATGATAACAATAAAAATAACTATACAAAATATAAATTGTATTTATATATTTGTAACTAATATTCCATTATGCATTTATGTAATTTATGTGACTATAAATCCGATATACATAGCTTACCTCATTACAAAATTGGTTTTTTTAAATAACTTACTTCATTTGTAAATAAACTCAATAAATTTTATATTTTATTTATATTGTATAAATATAATATAAAAAAAATTGTCTTCTATTATATTAATACATAGATTTTTTTATTGAGCTATTTGAATTGTGACTAATTTTTTGCGCTAAATGAGGCTAGTATATTGATCGATGGATCTTTAACTGCTGTATTACAATTAATGTAGTTTTCATTACACATCCTTTACTGACATTTTTTAAAACTATTTTTATTTCTTTTTTATGTGTCGGTCTTGTATAATAATAACAATTATATGGAATTTATTTAATGATTTTAATTTAATATTAATCTGCAAGTATGAAAGTAGTTTATCAAAATATTACAAAAATACTAGAATATTTTTTACTTAATGTGATTATAGGATAAAAAATTATCTTAATTACTAATCCAAAGCAATTTTGTTTAATAAAATTATAAAAAAATATTTATGTACGAACGTATTCTTCAAAACTTTTAATAAATATTAAAAATTAAATTATTATTATTACAATCATAATGAAAAAATTTTTATATATTTGTTTTCATTTATAACAATTAGAATATGTGTAATTAATATTATTTTTAAAAATACCCATAATAAAACACAATTGATTAAAATCTATTTTTCATACTTTAGAGATTATAGTATAGTTTAAAAAAAAAAAATTTGGAAAATTATTTAAAAATAACATTATTTCAATTTCTTACTCAATATCCTACCAATAAGATCATTAAAATTAAAAGCAAAGCAATACTAAATCTAAAATACATACCTTAAACAGTGTATTTGTTTAAATAGGCATTAATTGTAGTTATTTATAATTACTTCATAAATGTTAAGAACAAAACATTTTTTCAAAAGTGAATTTTAAATTTATATAAACGAGGACTTACTGTAAACTGGACAACTGCTTACACGCTGATACTAACAATAACCCTACAATTCTAGATCACAGTAGAGTGATATTCATAAGCGTATAATCGTAAGACTATGCAATTTATGTATAATTATAAAAAAACGAGCTAAATAGAATAAAATAATATAGCGCAATTATAATTACGGTAAATATCGTGTTAAATACCGAATATGTACTGAAATTAATTGAAATAAAATTCTGTTACTGTAATAAAAAAAAAATAAAAAAAAAACAGTATACGACAATAATCTAAAAAGAATAGTTTTAAAAAAATGACATACTGCTTTATCTTTAAAATTGGTTATTATTTATTCCTTTATTATATGTATAAAGATATTTTTCCATTCAATTAATAGATGGTTGTAGAAATTATAGGTAACGTCAATAAAAAGATATAAACGTAGCAAATTTTAAGTAATTTTCTTTCTAAAATTGCATAAATAATTATATATTTATCTAATTTATAATTTATTAAAAATTTTGTTCAATTAAGTTGTCAGTATTTTTACAATTACGTATAAACTTAAATGTCTATTAATTAATGGGAAATAAAATAATTGTAGCTTTATGTTTAATATTTAACAAGTATATTGTATAATATTTCATATAACCTACAATTTATATTATTTATCAATTGTAATATATAATGTAATATATATATACACACAATATGATTAATTATATAATAAAAGTTTATTAAAATAAATTAAAAGAATATACTATTTTAATAGGCAAATTTATTTATCAACAATAAAAAAATCTCATATAAAAAAAAATATATTCTAATATTAAAAATAATAACTAATACAATAAAGTTTTAATTTAGATAGATAATTAGATAGCTAATTATAAATGTATTAATTAGATTTTTTCATAATCTCTTATAAAGTACTTCATAGAACATAAATGAAGCTTATTGTAAATATATTTGAAACTTAATTATTAATGTTAACGATTGCTATAAATATTAATCTATAGAATGATTGTCTTCAATTATTTTCTTTAAATGTTCATATTAGTTCGTGGTTAATATTTAATGTTTGCTATTATTAATACTATCTTTATAAACTAAATTTTTAAATTTTAAAAATTATATTAAAGAAAACGATTCATACAGGCGAAATTAGCTCGAATAATTAAAAATAAATAAAAATATGAACAGTATGTGATAGTAATGAAAGGTAATTGAATTACTTTGATTTTGCATTATCCATGACTGTACTTACTAAAATTCCTCTAATACAAAATTTATTTAAATTATCCAATCCAGTATAATATCTAAAGAGTTGTCCACTTAGACGTACTTGAATTTTAACCAACGTTATCATAACAATAAAACAAACTGTCTATACATCAATGATCAGACCGTTATCGTCTAGCATTTTTAAATTTTAATACACGTTTAAATTTCATACGACCGTTTAAGTGGAACACAGAGATGACCTTTGCATTCACAATAGAATTTATGGTTCGATATATAAGGCACCTTATATATATATATATATATATATATATATATAAATAAATTTTATTTGACGGATTCCACAATCTGAATAATTTGATAAAATATAATTTATTTAAACATGTATCAGCATTGTACAATCATTGTAAAATATA